CTCCGCGGCATGTGGGATCCTCCCGGACCGGGGCACGAACCCGCGTCCCCTGCATCTGCAGGCGGACTCTCAACCACTGCGCCACCAGGGGAGCCCAACAAATGTATTTTTATATAATAGTTTATTTTAAAGTATTATGTTTTCTCTTGGAATTGATACTTTGTTTTGTTACAAGAAATCATGCCATATTTCTTCATTGTTATAGCATCTTCCACTTCTCTTTCATTTATCAAACTAACCTTGTAAATCTGAAAGTATTAACATCTCCACATGATAATAAAACTATAGATTTATAATTTTAAAAATTCCACATGAAAAGATGTTCAACGTCACTAATCATCAGGGAAATGAAAATCAAAACCACAATAAGATATCTCCTCACACCTGTCAGAATGGCCATCATCAAAAGGACAACAAATAACAAGTGTTGGCAAGGATGTGGAGAAAAGGGAACCCTCATGTACTGTTGGTGAGAATGTAAATTGCTGCAGCCACTATGGGAAACAGTATGGAGGGTCCTCAAAAAACTAAAAATAGAACTGTCATACAATTCAGCAATTCCACTTCTGAGTATTTTTCCGAAGAAAACAAAACAATAATTCAAAAAGATATAGGCACCCTTATATTCATTGCAGCATTATTACAACAACCAAGCTACAGAAACAACCTAACCCATCCATAGACAGATGAATGGGTAAAGAAGATGTGATGTATGTACACAATGGAATATTACTTGGCCATAAAAAAGAATGAAATCCTGCTGTTTGTGACAAACTGGATGGACCTAGAGGGTATTATGCTAAGTGAAATAAGTCAGAGAAAGACAAATACCATATGATCTCACTTATAGAATATAATATTACAAGCCAATTGTACTTCAATTTAAAAATATAAATAAATAAAAGTATTAAAATTTCTGTTAGAATATCCCTAATTAAGCATAAAACTCCCTAAAATGTTTCCTTTTCCAAAGATTTTACCATTTCCGTTAAAATGAACAGGCAAGACTTCATAGTTTCCAGACTGTGCGGCTGTAGCACCGCAAGTTCTCCATAAGGTCCAATGGCCTTCCAGTGTTCATTGTCTCAGTTCCCAAGTCTTGAGATATATTACTTAATTCTCTCTGATGTTTATTTGATGAAAGAAGGTAAATTAAAAGTTTGTCAGGCTTCTTCCTCTTCCAGGGATGGTATCTAGAGGCATTCAGGATGATCCAGCATTTGACATGCCGTCATAGGCTGTTCCATGATACAGCCTCTAACAAAACCAGGCTGTCCCGAACCCCTGATAACCGAATTGTTTACCTTTATACCAAGAAGGTTGAGAAAGCACCAAAATTCGCATGTGGTGTGCCCAGGCCGACTTCGAGGAGTTCGTGCCATGAGACCTAAAGTTCTTATGAGGTTGTCTAAAACAAAAAGACATGTCAGCCAGGCCTATGGTGGTTCCATGTGCGCTAAATGTGTCCGTGACAGGATCAAGCGTGCTTTCCTCGTTGAGGAGCGGAAAATCGTTATGAAAGTGTTGAAAGCACAAGCATGGAGTCAGAAAGCTAAATTTAAAAAATGAAGCTTTGGGACTTCCCTGGTGGCTCAGTGGTTAAGAATCCATCTGCCAATGCAGGGGACATGGGTTCGATCCCTGGTCCGGGAAGATCCCACATGCCGCGGAGCAACTAAGCCCGCGTGCCTAGAGCTTCATGCTCCACAACAAGAGAAGCCACCGCAATGAGAAGCCTGCGCACCGCAACGAAGAATAGTCCCCTCTGGCCGCAACTAGAGAAAGCCTGCGCGCAGCAACAAAGATCCAAAGCAGCCAAAAATAAATTAAAATTACAAAAAAAGAAGCTTTTTGAGTATTAAAATTTTTTTATGTTGTCAGGAAAATAAGATTGACATGATTCACATCTTTAATTACATCACTCAGAGGTGACTATAGAGGGTTCGACATCACCTGTCTGAGGACGGGTTCCTGAGCAGCAGAGCCTGAGATGGAATTCTTGAGCATGTGATTTACCAAG